TATATTTATATATATATATATATATATATATATATATATATATATATATATATATATAATAATAATAATTATAATATGATATCATAGAACGTAGATAATAGATAAACTAACTTCCACTCATTGTAAATATGCACCTGAGGAGCTAACATTAAAGCGAAAACATTTGTGCAAAATTTGAGTGGCTTTTATATTACGTTATAAATGTCTCTTTTGGTTGCACATTGAAACCTTGTATATATATATATATATATATATATATATATATATATATATATATATATATATATATATATATATATATATATATATATATATATATATATATATATATATATATATATATATATATATATATATATATATACAATGCGTAAGCAGCAATGGCTCATCCTGTAGAGTGCTCAATATGACACAAAGGCCATAGAGCAATATCAATATATATATATATATATATATATATATATATATATATATATATATATATATATTCCAGGCTTACGGATCGATAGCTATGCAATAATAAATTTACCTGGCGCTTCCACAAACAAAACTATTATAATAAAATTTAAAATGAACTTAGTGCGTACTTCAATGTACACACGGAATTTCCAAACGTATTTTTAGGTAACTTCAACTAATTTCAATAACCGGCGATTATATAGAACCCTCCCCCCCAGGCACAATGGTTGCTAAGTCACTGCTTTCGGTTTACAAAGAATATGGTAATTTCTCAATTTCGGTACCTGATGTTTTTTCTCATTGTTTTTTTTTTAAAAAAACCCTAATTTCACGCAATTTATACACCCTTTTTCATAAACTGATAGCCAAAGATTTAGTACATCATATGTCAGAGATGAACGCGATACGAGATCACGGCTCACTTCCAGCTTATCCTCAGTTAGGGAAGAATTACAGAATTGGTCCTGAAGACAAGTGAGGGGTACGTCCGTGCCCATCCCCGTCCCATATTTTTTTGTATCTATATCTTGCGATATTCCATTTTTCTAAAAGAAGCCTGAGAAACTTTTAAATTCCGAATCAAAGTATTTAATTAGCTGTATTCTCTCACAGTCACAACTTGCCTTCTTCCTTCTCACAAATAAAAGATTTCCATCTCGTACAACTTGCATCATTCCAATAACCCGCTTCGGCATAACCATACATTTCCACACACTGTCGTACACCTAAGCCATTAGGTTCACCAAACTGCCAGTTCTTAAAACTCAAGGGAACTTTAGAACGAAACTCCCAAACCCAACGTCCAGAAGAGTGGAGGCCGTTTAGACCAATCCAAAAACTCTAAAAGGAAGTTTTGTATTTTTTAGCTCATGCAGCCGCACGGTCCGAAAATTATACTCGATTTTCTATATTCACATCCAACTTTTAGCATTTGAGAAACTTGTATATAGTAGCATAACGAGGAATGGCATTTATGATTTAAATGAAGTAGTAATATAGAGGCCGTTCGACCCTGATTTTTGGGGCGGCGCGGGGCGGCGCATCATCATTAGCATACGTCATAATTACATGCAATGACGTCACGCGGGCAGGATCAGGTAAGTAATGACATCACGCGGGCGAGCTTAAACACGATCGGTTGAAACTTGCTGACTACGCATTTTTAGCGTCCTTCCACGTGTTTGTTACAATAAGGGATTAATGTTGGCTTACTATGATTGGTTGTTTGATTTAACGAGCGTCTGTATAAAATCGACAAGCGTCTTGTAACAAGCATCGTCTATATTTTGACAACGCTCTTACTGGAGGTCTTTTGGCAAGCTGCTGAAATTTATCTTGTTGGTAGAATTAACGTTTATTGGTTGTTGGAAGATAAAGTTTTTTGAGGGGAAACAAATTTTCGCGCTCTTTTTCAGTCGAGATGGAGCAAGCAAAGTGGGAAGAGGTTGTTTCTTCGTGGATGAGTGGTAAATCGTTTGAATTGAGTACAGAGTGTGAGAATGGGGTTGGCTTACCTATTGAAAAGGCGGAATGGCAAATTACAGATTTGGAAAACATTTTGATTGAAAAGGGTTTGGTACCGAAATTTATTCGTGGGGACGATGCCCTGTACGATATATTGTTGTATCAAATTCAATCACAATTGATTCTGAATGTTGGTGTTCCTAAATGAGTGCAGGGCCCTACCTTTACATATTTGTCGAACTGTATAAGCAGATGCTTGTGGGTGAGATATTTGCAGATATGACAAAAGGGAAGGAAAAATTCGAGAAGAAAACCGGTGTTAGCTTGGACAACTATTACAGATTGGCTGCGAGCGAAGTCGACAATGGGAAGAAAAGAAAAAAAATGTCTGAGTCGAATGGAAGCAACAAGGCCCTCGGGTGACCAACACTGGCATCGTGCTCAACAGTAATCCACTACAATACCAGTACATCATTGAAGAAACAGGAAAGACATTTAATAGTTCTAAATCTTACACTAAGGAGGCCTATGATGAATTTCGTAGATTAGGTTTAACAAGTGAACTTGATAAAATAGACCTCTTGTAATAATAATACGTTGCTAGTTAATTAATGTAAATTTGCATATATTCACTGAAATAAATACTGGGTGTCTCATTTGCTGTTCAATTGTTGTCGTGAGGGTATCAGTGGATAACATGGATACAATTTTTGATGAGTTGAAACGGAATGAAATTGACATTGATATCGTTTCATATAAATACAATTCTCGACCGCCATCGGGATCTATATCGGTATGCCTTAAAAACAGGCGCGTGGCTTTGCGGGTGCATGCATATATTAACGTACAAAATATGTGTACACTAATCAGGCTGGCGGGTCGCGCGGGAGGGTCGCGGGGGCTATGCAGGCGAAAAGTCCGCACAAGATTGCAGTTTCAAAATTCATTTATTTCCTCAAACATTTTACAAAATTTAGCACGATCCACGTCTAAGAGCTTAACGCTTAGGTGTTTTTGTTATTACCTCGGGTCGGTACGACACTGAGGTCTTAAATTCGGCTCCTATTTTTCTTTTTTTCTTTTTATTGTTTTTCATTTGTGTCGAGCCGCGCACGTAGTCGAAGATCGAAGGGCCTGCGGAGGAGACGACAACTTCCGGTAAATAAGTGTACTTCCGGCAAGCATCGGCCAAAGCGAAACGGAACGCGAAGCTGTCCTTGCACAAAATCCGTCAGAATTGTTGATTTAAAACCAGAAAATGTGATAATTTTGACATACATGTTTAGCTGGATAACTATTCTCGAGTATATGTTGATATAATGCACAATACTTCGTATGCATAGCATGGGAATACCGCGGCCAACTTTCACTTGTTATCTATTATAATTACTGACCCGAATCAAAAGTAATTATTTTCGGCTGGAAGACTACTGTACGTTGCTGCTTGTCGGGACCGTATGACAATGAACCTATCCAACGTTACACTAGACATTTGTGAGGACATGCATATAGACATAACCATAGGCACTGTAGTGCATTGTGATAGAACAGATTTCAGTTTAATTAATCGCCCTAAATTAAAATCTCCACAAGCGGAGGTCAATTATAGTGTTCTATTTTACATATCATTAATGATAAGGTTTACTCAAATAGCGTATTGGATAAACACGGGAATAGAACTTATGGTGTATTCTGCACATGCGTATATCTAGGATAAAATCCCACAAGCGCAAACGAAACTATTTCTCTATAAAATTGAACTGAAAAGACTCACAGCGACCGTTTCCAACAGTGCTTCAGGCACCCGACGACACCGTATGGGGGGCCTTTAGCACTGTCACCTTCTCATCTTGGGATGTTCACGTTATCGCGTGTACATGTCAGGGTGACGAAGATGCATTATTGCTAATAATGCATATGTCTGTGTGCACTGATGCACGCTGCATTATTTTTAATAATGTTGTGTGCTATTTTAACGCGTACATAGAATATGACGCGTATAAACATTTACCCCTGAGCCGGAATTTCCCTATACAACCAAAAAGGCCGCTCCCGTTTTTCAGTAGAACGTTAAATGAAAACTTCTCGACATTTGCTGATATAATGCAGAGAGAAAACAATAGGTTTGATGAGGGCCAGTAATTATTATCAATAAAATATTAAAACGGAGCTTTGATTAACTGATGCACCATTTATACAAGTGAACTATTAAACTATCGTGATTTACACAATTTTTGGATATTTACCAGACGATCCCCTATCCACCGACCCGAGGTTAACGCCGAGTCGGCGTCTTGTCTTTATATAAAGCTACCACACAGGATCGTATTTTATTTTACTTTTATAAACCAAACACAAACAGCCATTAAGAGTCAATATCACTACGATAACGTGTGTTCCTGAAAAGGCTTTTCAAAAAAAATGTTATCTTGTAAATAGTGACCTCTAACGCTTCCCTGCATGTGGTCGAAGTTATCATCGTTAACAAAGACATCCCCGGTTTTCATAACCTTTTTGTGTACTGGATCCCTCTTTAGTTGTCTTATCTTGTTATTATTAAATTAATTACAAATGTGTTGAACGGGAAGTAATGGGGATATTAATTTTGTAGCGAGTGGTTCGATGGTTTTACAGGTGTATTTTCAAAATATATAGTTTCATTGATAGAACCATAAATATTGTGGTGGCAACGTTGTCGGGTAAACCCCACAAACACAAAGATTGGGATAATAATTAATGTGATACGAATTTACATAAACGATAGGATCCTAATGCACATAATAATGGGAGTTATATTCATAGTGATCACCTTAATTAATTCATAAGTGATAATTTTCCGAAGTTACACCGAGGATGATAAAACAACGAGAGGTTTCCGACCTAGCGCCATTTTGTTTCGTGATGAAAATTTATTCCTGTCACAAAATAAGGCGAGCTATTTTCATAGTATCATTCTGTTTCAAGATGTCAGAATAAGGAGAGCAGATATAAATGTTAGACGTTCTAAGTAAAATTATGGCTTACTTGACTTTAGTTTTTAAAGTGAGCGGGTTTTGTGACCTTGAAATTGTGCAAGAAGCTATAAGAATCTGTGTATGGGATTTGAAACAAGTGGATATAGCTAGTTTTGAAATAAAACAATCTTGGACGCAACGCTTACTTGTATGGTTACATCGTAACCTGGTGGAATTTGAATATCACTAATCCAGGTTGAATATCAAAAGTCATTAACTGTTATACAGGGGCTGAACACATTGTACTTTTATGACATTGCCCGGACGTGTTTATGCTGGCCTAGTGAGAAATTCACAGGACGAAAAAATAGATTTGCTCCAACTTTGCAACCCCCTGCAAAGGTGCCATTGCCGTAATCGCATCAAATTTGCTATTGTGCAAATTTTGTTCAAATTTGGAAAGCAAATTGGTAAATAAATTTTTACCCTCATATTGGTAAATGCAATTCTCATTTTTGAGAGGGAATGGGTATAGGATAAATTTGGCTCAAATTACCTTTCATTTGCACAAGTGAATTTGTGGGTATTTTCGTCCATAATTTGGTTTCTAAATTTGCCAAAATATTTGCAACCTTGCAAATTTGATGCGATTACGGCAATGGCACCTTTGCACCGGGTTGCAAAGCCTAGTGCAAATCTGTTTTTTCGCCCTGTGAAATGGGTTGATTGTGCTTTTCATGTTGCTTGTTACGTGGAAGTGGACGTGAAAGAGTAATTGAACAGAGATATTGTACGAAAAGGCAAAGCAATGGAATACCACGCCGAAACGTGTGAACGATGTGAAGAATTTAGCCCAAACACTACAGAACTGCCACTACGTTATACAAGAAGAGAAAGTTCGATGGACTTTGAGGATTCTAGATGTGATAGATGTTTGTTCGAAATCGATCGACAATTATTTGATGTTCAAAATTAGTAAAAATGTGGAACATAACATGTGAACATGATAAATGTACTATACCAGCAAACTTTTATAATTGTGGGAGGGAGTTATTGTCATATTCACTGTCGTTTATGCAGTATACCACGTAAATGTAGAGATGCTGATTGTATTGTAACATTAGCAGAAGCTAAGAAAATGTGTTATCATTAGCAAAAGCTAACAAAATGTGTTATTATTAAATATATTACAAATGTATTTCTTGAATGAGTAAAGGTAAATCTGATATTCGTTGCACTTCTTGGGTTCGGACCCCACTGGATAGATGGGGATATATATTACGTAGGTGTATACTTTAAAATCAGGCGTGAGGTTTTGCGGGCATAAATTCTTCGCGGGTTAAAGTAATTAACGGGCTTGGGCAAATAGAGATTTGCATAACTATATGCATCCCAATGGTTAGATGGGGATATTACATCTTTACGTGTTTGGGGTGATTCGGTTTTTATATCAAGCAAACCGTAATGCGTTGGCAATTGAATGTTGTGGTATTAGGAATTGTCCCAAAATAAGGTTTTGACGAAAACGAAGCTAAAGACAAGGCATATTTACTTATCGTGCCAAAACTTCGTAAAGATTTGCAGAATATTTATTTGGAACGTCTACTATGGATAAGACAACTAAAGAGAGATCCAATACACAAAAAGATTATGGAAACCAGGGATGTCTTTGTCAACTATGATAATTTCGACCATAGGGAAGCGTTAGAGGCCGCTATTGACAAGAGAAAATTTCTTTTCAAAAGACTTTTCAGAAACACACGGTATCCTAGTGACATTGACTCTTAATGGTTGTTTGTGTTTGATTTATAAAAGTAAAATAAGATCGATCCTGTGCGGTAGCTATTTTCCCCTAACCCATTTCTCTAACCCTTTCCCAAGTCCCAGCAAACCTTCGGCCTTTAGGGCCACAACTATTTAATGTTAGAAATCAGTTGACATTTATCATTTCACATTATGCCTCGGAAGTGTAAAGATTGTCCCATCTGCGGCAAGCGAGCTTTAAAAAGATTGGCAAACCATTTGGCAGACGTCCATGAACTTTCGTCTCAAGAAAGACAACCTCATCTTATTCGTGCTAAGCCAACAGCTTTAGACCAAGCCCGTAGCTGGCTCTCAATTTCTGGGGGGGGGGGGGCACTGCAGAAAAAATCTAACAGAGGGTTTGAGATGGAGAAAAAAATTTTCCGGAATTTTTTTTGGCGACTTCCGCCGCCCCTCGCCAAAAAAATTTCGGTCATTGTACCATTTTAGGGGTCAAAAATTTTTTTCCTGGCAAACAAAATTTTTCAGAAACCTAACAAAAATTCTCTAAACATCACTTAAGCACAAAATTTACAGAATTTGTCCCATGATTGCAATTGGTTTCCAGGTCCTTTATCTCAATTTTTCAGACCCCCCCCCCCTCAGCTACGGGCCTGCTTTAGACTAAGAAAACGTTTTAACAGAATTGTGCAGATTAATTGGGAACAATAAAAAACAGTCAAAGTGGAATAAAAGCAGGATAAAAAATATACCCATTCTTCAACAAAAATCCTCCAGGAAGAGAACAAAATCAAGTACAATATCTGCAAAGAATGTGGACAATACAGAAATGAATGATGGCTGAATGGATTGGTTAAAGTTAGAAACAAAAACGAAACACAACTCTTAAGTGGATAATATTATATTTATACAGACAAGAATTATTAACTTTGTAGTACTTAAAGAAATAAATGTGTCTTAAATTGAAATTCTTGTGTAAATATTTGCCCACAAAGCATCGCGCCCGATTTTAAGGCATACACCTGCGTTATAAATAATCCCTATCTATCCATTGGGATACACTTAATCATGCAAATTCGTATTGCCGTAATCCCCTTAATTACCTACACCTCCTAATGACTTAGCAACACATAACAACGCAACATTTGTAAAGTTTAAAACATGTTTATTGATACAAATAACAGACGATAGTGTCCAAATAAATCACAACTAAGACTGTTTGTTAAACTGTTCAACAAGTTTTTTCTCCAAGAATCCTTGATAAGCTTTCTTATGATCTGCCTCAAAACTTCTAAATCGCTCACCCGTCGCCTTCACATAATACATGTGACTCGGTGGATACGAAAAAAACGCTTCAGCTGTTGACTCGAGCGGGTCTTTTAATGTCCAATGAAACAAATAGTTCAGTATACATTATAGTTCGTGGTTCTCAGTGTTCTGATGTAGTTCCATCAATAAATCGACAAACGTAGAATCTGGGTCTTTTTCCAGTTGCTGTAAATGTTCGAGTACATCTCTGTCAACCGCCAGTTTTAGTACCCTCATTGCCTCAGCGAATTCATTCCAAACCATACGCTTACCATTCACTCGTTCGATCGCTTGTAAACCATACATTTGCCATCGTTCGTTTTC